TTTTTCGCCAACATTGAAATAACAATATTTATTCAGTATTCATTGGTATATCAATTATATGACCAGCAGTTGTATATGTGGAGTATTCCTTATATAAGGAATACTCAACAAATATTAAAACACAATGATTGTTTGGTTCATATTGGTGAGAATTTCAGATGTTAGAAACTTCTGACATGATAATTTCAGATGTCAGAAGTGTTGATTTGATTTGTGATGGCATTAGGATGGCAGAGATGGAAATTTTTCCTACCATTTCACGCCAGTAAAGAATTTGAAAGCCACTTGTGGTATTTTCTAACTGGCTCTGGCTTGAATTGCCACATGGATGACAAACATCTTTTTGAAATTCTTTCAGTAGGCCCAGATTGGAATCTTTGAAAGATGCGCAGGGGATCTGTTTTATGTCCATGAAAATTGCCCATTTGCAAATAGCGCAGATAAAAATTTTGTGCAACTGAGACTAATTACCATGAAAATACAATATGTAACGTTGGGTTATACATTTGAAAAAAAAAACAGCTGGATGAATCATTGCGGCTGGATGAATCACTTTAATAGAAATTGCGCGGCTGCATCTGCGACCGATAGTTGATGTTCTAAGGCAAAAATTCCAATCTGGCAGTAGGCTATCTGATGGTAACAATTATTAATCGAAGAATGTCATATAGAGTTTAAAAGTTGTGGATGTGAAGGAGTTTTCAGAATAGAGAAGTAAAGGGGAATATGTGCAATAGTGTGGCCCCTACAGTTTCAGGATCCTGGGTTGCATTTTTGGGAAATCTAAATGTATTTCAGTTGAATGCTTTAGATTTTTCTGTACCTCAATTGCTTCATCCTCCTGCAAACTGCCCATGACTATAAAGGCAGTTAGCTTTTTGATGGCTTGAACTCACACATGGACCCGATTGGGAATTTCATATAATATGTAATGTTGTAGGCCTGGCCAGAAAAATTTTAACAGGGGAGCAGTAAACAGCTCTCCTAGTAGTATTCAGGTGAGCTATAAGAATAGAAACAAAGGAAAAATTGATTTCAAGGAGGGCAAGTTTGCTTTCTAGAACAATTTAGGAGAGCAATCTCTAGCTCCCCTCCAGCGTTTGAAGAGAGCCTGGAGGGGAGCAAGAGCTATGGCTTTCCTTAAATGGCCAGGCCCGATGTTACTCATTACCAGCTATATGTCTAAAAGAATTTCTCAAGAGAATCATGAAAATTACCTGTAGCATTAAAATTTAGTTATATTTCGGTCAAATAGCCCTCTAATAATTTCAAGACGCCCACCTTTAGTAGGCATATACTTTATACAGCCCATTTTACAGAGACAACACCAGCTTTTCCACACCTTGTAATCATTTGGCAGTTGTTTTACTCAGTGTTGAAAGGAGGAGTCATTTGTTTTTAGAAATCCATTTTTTCAGTACATAATGTAATAATCATCTTATAATAGCCATGTCCAAAGCAGGGGAATATTAGTTCAAGATTTGCTAATAAGGCCCCTGGGGTTATAATCTTCTTGTTCTATGATATCTTGTTTGTATACTTATATTAACTTATAATTTTTAATTTTTTGATAGGCTCAAAGCCTGTTGCAAAATTTAATTTGAGATTGCACATGCAAGAGGCAAATTTGTGGGTAAATAACATCTTAAGCAGTCCAAGAATTCTTGCTGAGGAGGCTGCTAGAGGGCAGCAAAAATTATAAGAACAAACTATAATCTTGTATGTGTGCTTTTATATGTTGTTTTTAAACTCATTAAAAGTACCAAGTTATCTATATTTAATTTTTCATATAACATGGGATCTCATAAAATCATTGGCTTGAAATATCAGTGACCAAAAACAATCCTTTAGCTGTTTATGTTATAAGTATTAGAATTATTCCAGTAATTGCTAACTCTGTTATTGTATAATCATTTTCTAACATCAAGGCAAAATCTTTGTTTTGCTTATTTCAATCTGCGACCGAGATTATTTGCCTGAGATTTTTTCCAGGAGTTGATTGCTCCCTTTGTTGTACAGATTTTGTGTGTATGTATTTGTATGTTTCAAGAAGATCTCTTTGCAGACAATGGTATACTAGTCTTGATAAGTTCAAACCCCTCATTCTATCTTGAGATGGGATATGTTTTAGTTATGTAATAAGCTTTGTTGCTCTTTTTGTAATTTTCAGTGGCTGTGATCTCCTCTTTATAAAATGGTAACCAAACAGAGTTTCGGAATTCTAGATGAAGTCTAACAAGTCATTTCAAAAGTTGTGCCTCTACCTAAGTATGTAAATGCTCTGCAATAACAAGGATCTTGCCACCTTTTTAGCTGCTGTCTCTGCTCCTTAAAATTTATGCTTGTTGTCAGCATATAACCCTCAGTCTTTCTTGACTTGTTTCTACTGTCACATTCATTGTGTAAAATGCTTCTGCATTCTTTTCCCCAGAATGCCTTGCCTTGGATTTGATGTATCAAAACTTAATTGCCACACTTCTGCCCATGTGTGAAGTGTATTAAGATCATTCTGCAGACCCTGATAATCAAAGTCATTATTTATATTCCAGTACAGCTTTGTGTAATCTGTCAACATACTTGTCCTATTTTTGATTACGCCTGGCATATCATGCACATAAAAGATACAAAACAATGTCCAGCACACCCCCTTACACAACTCAATATAACTCAAATCAAAACAGAATACAGTATGGCATATTTTGTCAAGGTATATTTCATATCAGGTGAAAAAGTAAATTGGAATATAAAACTCTTTTGCAATGGGTGTTTCTCTCTTGAATTACTGAATTGTTTACTTATGAAGCCTGCATTTCAAAATTAAGAATAACTGATGTACAACAGATTTTCTTTAACTTTCATTTCAATATGGCAATTGAAATAATCTTCTATCAGGAGATGATACCCAAATGACATCTCATATACTGTTTTATTCTATTTTTTTTTTGTATTTTGAAGTAGATTGTAATTCAGTAATTAATTTTGATAATCTTTTTAAGGGGGTTTTTTTGGTTGATGTTGGATTTTCCAAAGTAGTGTTTTCTAGTGAGGGTTTAATGTAAGTGGGCATGTAGTATGAATTGTTATAGTCAATGGTGGGTTCTCATTCCTTATTTTGTTTCTTCCATCAGTTGTGTTTGTTCTTGATAATCAATAATAATTTCATAGTTAGACACAGTCTCTTTGGTTTGCTTTGGGCTTCATTGCTTACCTTCAATATCAGTTTCTTGAATAGTTTTGTCTGCAGCAGACAAGACCTTTCTCAAATTGATACAATCAACAGCACTGACAGGATATCAATCACTATTGCTGCCATCTAGGAGATGCAGATCTTTTTGTCTCAATATTTTCAATACTGCTCTTCGAAGGAGGTTTTTCGTTAGGATATAGCCCCTGTATCATTTATTTTTATTTTTCTACGGTTTGCTCATTTATTCTTGCTTTAGGTGCAGGTGCTGAAGAAATTATATTAAATGAAATTGAGGCTTCATTTCTTCTGTTGGTTGGCACATACGTGCTGTGTGTTTGGCTAGGTGCCTGTCTATGTGTGGATGTTATTACTAGGGACATTTGTTTATTATAGATGGTTTCTTGGGTACTGTGCCTTGCTAGACATGCTAAGTTTCCTCTGTTCTTTACTGTAACAAGTCAATATCTCTCTTTAAATTTGCATGAAGTTTGAGAAAACCCCAAATCTATCACTTAGTGCTGTGTGCATGATCTCTCTTTCTTTCCATGTCTATGGATATCCTAATGCTTCATTCTTATCTTTTCAGTCGCGCCTTCTCATCATTTAACCCCATACCTCTTTACATGGTTTGCTTACTGTAAGAACAAAATGTATCATTGAGAAAACCTTTATGTTTTTACCTCTTAGAAATAGTACTTTCTTCCTAAAACATTTTTTTCTTTGAAGTTGATAGACGAAAGTCTGTAGCAGCAGCAATGTTGAGCTCTGGAACATGACTGACTTTTGTCCTTGGTTGCAAGATCTGAATGATAAGCACATGATCAGTATATGAAAATGCTTCTTTCCACCAGATATGAAAAAGTTCCCAAAACCTAGCATTTCATCAAATGTTTGCAGCTTTAATCTATTGTTATGCAAACTATCTTATGCAAACTATCTTATGCTCATTCACGTTAACATACCTTTATAATTTGTAATTGATATTTTACTTATTGCAAACTTGTGAATCTCGCTGTTCTTTGTAACGCTGCAATTTATTTAGATGCGGTAATAAAGGTTAAAATGTTTAAGAGCTAAATATGCTAAAAGCTTGGAGCAAAGTGGTTTTTGTATAGTTTAAAGTACATTTTGAGAATAATGTGCGGCTGAAGTCCGCACCCCTCTTCTAAGTCCCTTGTCTTGTGGGAAGAATCTGCCTGGTCTCTCGTCTGTATCTTTTTCTGTGATCTAGAAAATTTTGTTACTTCTCTGAATGATAAAGCAATTTCTTGAGGTTTTTTCCAACGTTCAGATATTGGCATTTTGCTTATCATTGATAAAAAGAAATTGTCAAAGAGTTTGATGTAGAATTTTCCCGCGTATTTCGGTACCTCGATTCGATGTGGTGGAAAGATATAAAAAAGAATCGTCTGATTGACGACAAGACAAACAACAAAAGGACAGTAAGCGAAGATAGTTTAGATTAGTTTTTAATAGCTCCCCTACGAAGCCCGCTACACGGGCTTGCCAGTGGCCCTACGGCAGGGTTCATAGATTAGCCTTGATAAAAACAAGAATTCTGTCGAAGCCCCCAATGAATTCTAGGAAAATTAGCCTTGGTAAAGACAAGACAAAATTGTCTAGCCTCTATCTCAAATTGAATGGTCTGGTCACGCCCCCATAGGTGTCATGTGATAAAAATCAGTTTGTCTGCTAAAAAATTTTGGTCTTTACCAAGCCAAAGCCTAAAACAGAAAGGGGGTAGAGGCTCCCCCCTTCTCCTAGCGATAGTCAAAGGAGTGCTTTTTATCACGTGACCCTATGGGGGCGTGATCATTCAATTTGAGATAGAGGCTAGACATTTTTGTCTTTTCTTTACCAAGGCTAATTTTCCTAGAATTTTTCGGGGGCTTCGACAGAATTCTTGGCTATTTTCACCTAAAGGACACTTGCTAGTGGGCAACCATTGACCATCTTATGGGGAAATTTTAAGAAATAGTTGGGAATCTCCCCTCTAGTATATCGAAAGACTTTGCCTATTTTACTGGACGCATATAAACTAGTAGAAAACAATATAAAGGCAGGGGTTAGTCAGATAGTGTATTATTTCATCTACTTTTCTCGAGTATCTGTCGTTTTGATACCATAGAATATTAGAATAAATAAAAAGTTGTTTTGAGGACTTCCGTATTTTACAGCAACAAAGAGTAGTCCCTTCACCGGCTGCCTTTTTCTATGGCACTCCGCCCCGTGACTGCTTCAGTGAGGACTTAACTATGAAAGGCGGTTGTTGACAATGTTTTCTTGGAAGTATTCCGGCATCGTAAACTTTGGATAATGTCAATGCATTTACAAGATTACACTGATGATCCTACAGATCTTTCCTTTTTTGTTTAGTGGTGAAGTGTGACAATAAACTTCAGGTGGAATGGAGAGCTATTTAGGTATTCACATTTAATTTATGGAGAACTATTTAATGTAATTTGATAATTATTTTGCTTGGTAAGAGGCAGTAAAAAGTAGGAGGATTCTAGGAAAGGGTTCCTCTTGCAAGAGTAAATTTCTTGGCAACAGATTTTTCTCCCTGAAAAGGCCTTCTATTTTATGCTTTTTTATTTATTCAGTTGCGGCTTTTAAATAAACCTCAAAGCCATGTCTTCTGTTTCGCAGTTTTCAAAAAAGGAATGCCTCTGCTGTTCAATCAATATTTATAATGATTCGTCAGTGTTCAACCAACGAAATAATTCCGAGTGTTGACTAAGCCTAGTCATAAAACATTAGTTTTAACATTAGTACAAACTCAAGAAGAATGCATATTATTGTCTGTATGTTGTGACCGCCTTTGGTGGCTTGGTACAGGTGTGCATGGGACGAAACTCGCTGTAAAAAGCAGTGGAATCCCGATATAACCAACTCTGAAGGGAACCAGTTCGTTAAACCGAAGGCTAAGGTTTTTTTGGTTCCTTTCGCAGTTCACGCCTTAAAAAACCTGCGGTGGGCTTTATAAAGCTATCTCCGACCACTGTGCACATTTAACTCCAAAAAACCAATCTGAATTCAAACAATACAACTGGCTGGTCATTGAAAATGAAAATCTTAATGTTCCTTTCATAATTTGGGACCAAGGGATTGGCAAAGCTGGTATCACTTCGCTCCTAGTTGGTGCCTGAATGATGTCTTCGATTACTTTACCTCAAATAGTAAGATAAATAAGGCACAACTTTAAACCCGTTTTTGTTTTAACCCGGGCTAGTGGAAAGGCTGCCTAAGATTGATGTAGATTGTTCTTTTTCCTCGCGTCCCCAGGAAAGTACCAAGGAACATATTTTTTGTCCCCAGCTCAAACAGATTTAGCCGCCACTGCCGTATTTACCTGCTATCCACCGTGCAGAAGAAGCTCACCGGGCTTGTTAAAAAGGTTGTTGAGAAAACTTGAATGTTAAATCTCCACCTCTTTCCATATGAAAGGATGAGCGTAATATCTTAGGGTTAGAAAATAGGGCAGGTTACATTCCGTGTTTCCTCTACGCCGAAGGCTGGCCAGGTAAATCCCTGGCGTAACCACCTCATTTTTCGAATTGCCAAAAAAATAGATAACAGGTCAGGAAACATAAGTCGCGTGGCACTGAATTGGTGATGAGGATAGAAATATGATACGTTTTCTGCAACTGGGGCCAAAGGCTGCGGTCCAGACATTAGGTTTATAGTCATGCTTTTCAAAGCTCGTGCAAGATATAGTTTAGTGTGGGTCTTGACTTGAAGTAGTTGTTAATTTCTCGCAAATAGGAAGGCTGCCTCGTTGTATTGGCGAAGATGCCAAAGTATTCATTTCAAGACCCACAGGAGGCAAAAAGCACTGCCGATCTTGTGTCGACTAGCCAGGTTTCACTTGCTGCCGACAAGCAAGGATGCCTTCCTGCTATTACCTCGAAAATAGCTGTAACTACCAAACGGACAGTTGGTCTTTTTGGTGCAATCTCGCTCATCATAGGAACCATGATTGGTTCAGGAATCTTCGCATCAGCAAGGACCGTAGCTTCGCTTTCAGGATCTGTGGGAATGCTGCTTGTCGTATGGACTTGTTGTGGAGTGATTGCCACGTTAGGTGCGCTATCGTATGCTGAAATGGGCACCATGATACGAGAGTCAGGTGGAGAGTATACGTATCTTAAAAAAGCCTTTGGCCCGTTGCCTGCATTTTGCTTCGCGTGGACCAGCGTGTTAGTTTTGAAACCATCCGCAATTTCAGCCATCTGTTTGACTTGTGGTAATTATATCATAGAGGCATTTTACCCAGCGATTCAAGAATGCTATCCAACTGTCATCCCCAAACAAAGTCTCGCAAAAATGTTTGCTGCTTTGACAATAGGTGAGTGTTTCGCCTTAAATATTGTTCGGCCATCTTAAATATTGTTTTACCACCGCGTGGCTGAAAGAAAACATGTAATCAGCGCGTAAGATCGTGCATGATTTTTTAAGGTCAAGAAAACCCCTTAAAAGAAACTTGTGTATAAAGCCTGATTCAAGCCTGATTTACACGAGACGAATTTTTTCGTGCGAAGCGAATTTTTCGCCGCGAATGCGCGAAAAATATGCGCAGAAGTGGAGATTAGAAAATTCGCAGCGAATTCGCAGCGAATAATTCGCTGCGAAAAAGTAGAAACCATTCCTACTTTTTCGCTGCGAATTTTTTCGCCATGTAAAATAAACCAATCAGAACAGCAATTGAAGACATCTGACACGAACCCAAAGGAAGTGCTAGGCCGAATGGTGCTACGCAATGTAAACATATCTAAATCAAAAGTATGCAAAACGACAGAAAACTACGCAATGGTTCAAACAACAACATGGGTGAAGAATGAGTAACCTATGACTAGGCCTAAACAATGCTGGGAAAATCCCGCACCTATAACATAAACAATGGATTGGGACGTTTCTAGCAACAGGCGTCTTTGGTGCAATAAACGATAAAAGCTCCTCATATGTAGTTGGCGACATTCGAAAAAAAATTATTCCTGACAATGTAAGCGTAAGTCACTTACCAAAAGATGAAACTCCCCCTTCTGCAGACGTTCTGTATAAATTATCCGAACCAAGTACCCATTTATTTGCTTTTTTGCTCGCTTTTTTTCAATAACAACAATCTTCGAACAGAGGTCTTGCAAGTATTCTATGTCCATTCATTCCGGTTTATGCTGTACGCCCACAGCGAGAGCCATAGGGACAGGAACTGTTCTCTATTCTCCGTTCAGGGTTGAGGTCATCGATTTTCCATCTTGCTATCTACAGACCTTTTTCAAAAATGAACTTCAGATTTGAAATCGTCATCTTGAAATTATTATTAGTTTTAAGTTTCATGTCGTTTGGACCGTTCGCTCGCGAGTTACGTCAATTTGAATATTTAGATATTTCCATAGATTTGACCAGAATTCGCTGTTGTAGGGAAAAATTTTCACTACAGCAAGAAATTCCATTGAAATATATAGGAAAAGCTAATTTTGAAAATGGGTTAATACGCTGTCTGACGGTCCAAACAACTTGAAATTTTCAGCACAGACTAATTTCAACATGAAGATTCCAATTCTATGATCCGTTTTTGGCAAATGTGAAGATCAAAAATTGCCCGGAACAGAGAATAGCCCAGTTTATCTCAGTATTTCATTTCTGTCGTACGATTTGAAATATTTCTCCATGACATGGGTTTCCACCTGACTTTTGCCTTGGAACTACAAACCAACGTTGTTCAAAATACACTCCATTTTTTATAGGAAACTGGCTATAAAAAACGAGTACTGGACAGTCAGAAAAAATTAAGAAACTCCAGTACTCGAAGCAAAAAAAATTAAGAAACTATTAAATCGTGATAAAACTGAGAAAAACGAATTTTTCTAAAATCCAAGAACATGCTTACCCTGTTGGCATAAAATATTGAAATTTCCAGAACATTAAGAAACTGAATACTCAACATCGACCTTTGTTTCTTATAAAAAAAATTAGTGTAATCGTTTGAGAGTTTTTGCCTTTTCAGAGTTCTTTCAATATTCAGTTGATTCTAAACCCAAATTTAAAGACAGATTTTTGAAAAAATTTCCTTTTTCAGACGATCTTTTGGGCAAGAGAGAGAAAATTCTCTTATTTAAAGCGCGGCTATTTTGAAATTTTTCCAAATCTTGCCCAACTCTTGACTTAATTTACTTCCTGCTTCCCTATACGAGTCACCCGTACCTGGCCCACAAAAGTGAAACAGGACCTTTTTGCAAATTTATGGCCATTAAGTCATAATTGTTAGAATTGAAACCAACTGTCAGATTCCGTTAAGAACTAATGGGCTTCTTATCTTTGCAAGTTGGAATATCAACATATTTACTGCCGCGTAAACAGCAATTTACATTATTGAAAAGGGTTGCATGCTCGAGCCCTCCCTTGATGCGGCCCTTCTGATGTTGAATATCACATGCCAGAACACGAAAGACACAAACTTAGGCCACAGTTTATCAGATTAACTTTCAAGTAAGCTGTTTCCACTTCCACCTTACATGCTCAATGTTTGAATAGTATGGATCGTACCGTCAGATACCCGTGGATCGTCCCGTTACGTCAAGGCACGGTTTGACAAACTTGACGACTCGATATATGACATCGTCCCACGATCTACGAATCATAACCTGATTGGTATTGCGTCGTTGTGCTTCGTAGACCGTCCCGTCAAATCAACAATCATCTTTTAAATCAGGTGTCATCAACCGGCTTGCATGGTTTGAGGTTAGAGATAAGAACAAACGGATGTGCTTATTACAGAGATTTAATTGGAGAAATAACTTCCGTGTAAGGTTTGCTTTTGGCACAAAAAGTTTAGGCAACAAACAGGGCCTCTGACGAAGGGGGGCCGGGGGACATGGCAAAACAATAGAGCTTTTTTAAAAATATTTTGTTATAAATGTTAAATTTTCCTTTGCCCCTCCTCCACTTTCTAGCTTCCAACTCGCGCGGAGTCCATGACATAAAACTCCAAAAGAAGAAAGATCTGGCAGCCTACAGCCCAAACGGGACAGAATACATTTGTTCGTTTCGCACATGAAAGAAAATGGAATGCCTTTTGATCATCAAACAAATTTTCGGCATCTTTTGCTTGAAAGGTCACAATTTTCGGACATAATTAACTGCTTCGTTAAAATCAACTTGCTAATATGGTCTCCATTGAATGGATAGGAAATTGTTATACGTTCTCAAAACCAAGGCTGGGGTCAGGGGCGGATCCAGAGCAAACTTGAAAGAGGGGCAGTTATTAGTGGGGGCGCTGAACAATTTTCAAAAATTGATGACGACAGAATGCTGTATACAACAATTTCAGATCCATTTTCGGAATGAACAACATAACTTTGAAGTAATCCCTGAAGCAAATTGATTTATCGGTCTTAGAAACTTTTCACCTGATTCATATTCCTTAAAGGGGGCGCACAATTTCCAAAAAGGGGCGCCATACTTGCTTCAACTCGTTGAGGGAGGGGCAACTGCCCCTAGTTGCCCGCCTTAAATCCGCCACTGGCTGGGTTTTCTACACTGGCACGATATTTCTTCAAAGAAATATTCACTTTTGTTAAAATTAACAAAAATTGAATAAGATTATATATTTTTTAAAGCCATGGTATCTTTTGTTTGCTCTTGCCTACCGTTTACAGAATCAGACGGACCCTCTCCCGGGATGCCAGCTTTGATCCCATGTCCAGTTGATCGCAATACACCTACTTTCCTTCTGTGTGAGCAATGCAATTCAAAAAAAAGCTTACTTCCGTTGTTGAGCTCAGTAAACCAGGCTGCATACAATGTTTATCATTAGGGGATGATTATTGATTTGACGGGAATGTCTACGAATCACAATGACACAATACCAATCATGTTATGATTCGTAGATCGTGGGACGATGCCATAGATCGAGTCGTCATTTGTCAAACCGTGACGTAGCGGGACGATCCACGGTTATCTGACGGTACGATCCACGTATCACGGTACGATCTATCGGTTGTCATTTTGTCCACGATGTGACTCCATAGAATAGGCCTAAACCTAAACCTTTAAGTTTAGCGTATCACATGGTCAATCTTTGGCTGTGCAAAAGCTCCATAACACTAATATAAAAAGTATCATATTACGATGTGAGTGTGTCCTCGGCCAAAGGATCAAGTTGAGCGGGTGGCTACTTGAGTTTTTCCGTCTTTACAATTGTTTGTATATTGCAGTCTGTCTTTGAAAGACGAAGATTTTTGTCTTGAGCATTCCAAAGACAGAAATCTGCCGTATGCGCATGTCAAAGACAAAGATTTTTGTCTTTCAAAGATAGTCTTTTTCGAAGACGCATTTTTGTTCATCTTTTCTTGAGTATAAAAAACTTCAGTACTTAAAGCAAAACTCAAAAAACAATTGAATTTTGAAAATGGCAAGAAGTCAAGAAATTTCGCATAAAACGTTAGGTGTGGTTGCTCTAGTTAACTTACGATCTGCTTGGTGTGCATAAATCTTAAGACAAAGATAACAAAAAATAGACTTTTCTCTTTAATTTAAAGCATTAAAACGGAAGCAAATCATTTGCCTGAAATTCATGGAGCATTGAAAACAACTCACTGTTGTAGCTACGAGAGAAAACCCTCCACAAGAAGTTTCTGTTGGCGTGAATTTCGTGAATTAGAAACAACGAGTATTGAAATATTAACAGATTTCAACGTTGGAGTACTTAAGGTCGACATTTGTCCTTTATAAAAGAATGAGGGTACTGATACCTCCAGTATCACGATGTTATAAGGATTTTAATGATGGAACAAAACGAAACAACCAAACAGTGTAGATTTGAAATGCCACTAGTGTTATTCTAGTTGATAGAAAATATGATGAATCTAAATATGATAAATTGAACAGATTATGCGAAGATGCATTTGATGTAAAGGCGGTCTACTTCTCATTACTTTAGTATTTATGTTTTTTTCTGGGATCTTTTACAGTAAGATTTGATAAATTTGGGTGTCATTCCTCTACAAATGACATATTCTTTCTTTGGCATACAGAAAGCAAATCATCTTTGATGTGGTGACCAGTTTGCAGAATTTCTTAGTCCAGATTTCGCTTTGTAGAAAACAGCCTCTTTAGTTTTCGATGTGTATTAGGTATGGACGACCGGGCATTCAATAAGGCCCCGTTTACACGATTATTAATATTATTATTATCATTATTATTATTACATTATTTAAAGTTGGTATTTACAATAGCTAAATACAACAGCTAATTTAAACCAACTATATACAAAATGAAAATTTACGGAGTAATACTAATACTAAACTCAAATATTTGCATAAATAATACTTCGAAGGGGGTTTCCAC